TGGACTGCAGCCCAGCTCCGCTTCCTGCCTCTGGAGTCCCAGGCACAGGGCTGATGGAACAGGCCATTTAGGGGCCTCACTCGCAGGGGTGGACAGTCATCACTTTGCCAACCCCTTAACTCATGTGGTGATCTCCAGGCTCCCCTTGGGCTTCCCAGGGTGTTATTTAGAAGACCCTCAAGACCTGGACTGTGTTAGTCAAGTTAATTTATGCTGAGAGTAACCCCGGTCTTGCAGTGGTCACTCCCAGCTCTACAGTGGCTGCTGGCCTGTATGCTCATCTGCTGATCAGGAGCTCCCCTGAGCTGAGGCATCGGATTCCTGAGTCCAGCAGGTGTCGCTGCCTCAGGAGCTGGGCATGGCTGGCTGTGAGGACACCTCAGGGTCCTGCAAGTGACTGACCCAACATCCCTGAACCCTGGACCCCAAGGACCCCTCTTGACCATCCACTCCTGTCCTAGGCCTTAGAGCAGCCCGACTGTTTGTGCAGAGTGAGTGACCCAGAGTGACCACCAGCTGCACTTCTCTGAGTCAGCTGGCTGACCCCCCAGGGACAGGCCCTGTTCCCTCCCTTTCCCAGGGAGTCTGGTTCTCTGCCTGCTGGGTGTGGCCACCCAGGCTGCATTGGGTGGAGACCTGAATGGGGGAGATGCTTCTGTGCCCGTGACCACAGCGATGCTTCCTGCAACTGCCCTGTTTAAAAAGCTTCCCTGTGTCTGTTCTTCCATGTGGGTCCCTCTGACCCAGGGTGTCTGGGGTGTGGCCACAGCCCTTGTGGGATGAGCTGGACCTGGGTCCATCCAGAGTGTGCCCCAAGGAAGCCCAGGCTTCCCTGAACCCTGAGGAGCCGCAGTGCTCCTGGGAGGAGCTCTCAGGCCAGCTTTGCTGGAGTAGGTGATTCGAGTTATCGTGGACCATCGCTGAGTGCAGATACTGTGCACATTGCTGGGGTTCTCTGCTCCCTCCTAGGGATTCAGCTCAGCAAGGCTCTGTGGTTTCCTGCCTGAGGCTTTGCTCCAGCTTCCAAGCCAGGACCCAGGCAGAGGAGCTGGCTGCCAGGAGGTGATGCCAGACCCATCTGGATGTGTGGGGCTCTCTGGGCTTGGGCCTTGGGTCACTCTGGGAGTCCTGACTGGGCAGCAGAAGGACTGTGTGGGGCAAAGGCAGCAGCTCAGCAGGTCTCAGGACAGATGGTCTGGAGGCAGAATCCCGAGGTGACGTCAATGTTAACCCAGCTCAGGTGACAGGGAAGCTGGGCTGGAGGAGACTGGGGATGGGGAAAGAGACCGTCAAGGCCCGAGGGGAGACCACCCTGCTGGGCAGTGGGGAGTGCATGGGCAGAGTGGACATGGGGAGAGGCCATCTTAGACGTGTGGCCTGCTTAGGGAGAGGAGCTCTGTGTGGTCAGTGGCCTGTGAAGGACTGAGTAATCCCAGGCTTTGGGTACAGTAAAGGCCATATTGGCCTAGTAAATCTTCATTTTTTCTTGGCTTATGAAATAAATTTCTTTGTTGTTTCCTAAGTGGTCTTGTAATTGTGCATGTGGGTGAAGAACCCACACGGAGACCAGTAAACGATCTGGGCAGTGTTTTTGGCCTGGTTTGGGCCCCTGCTGCCCCGTACAGTCCTTTCATGCCCCCCACCTCCCCCTAATAGCAGGCCTTCTCCTGGTCCCTCAGTCTGCCTGTGTCTTTCTCAGGGAGCCCAGTGCCCCTGGGCGCCTCTCCACTCCCCCACGTGTCACTCTATGCGGATGCCTCAGTTTCCCTCCAGCTCCTCAGGTGTGGCTCCCCGGCCACCCGCCTCAGGCCTTGCTGTGCCCAGTTGGATGCAGTTTATGCTGTGACATGCCCACCGGCCCCTAGCACCAGGGCTGCGGGAGGCTGGCTCTGGCCGGGCCTGATTTGGGACCCGGGAACCTGGGGCCAATAGACACCAATGCTGCTCTAACAGGGAGCCGGTGTTGCATCTGTGGGGAATGGCGGGGACAGGGAATTAGACGTGAATTAGTTTAATCAGGTCCTGTCTTATTTCCTAAGAGATACAAACAGTTGATTTTAAAAAATATTTTCTTAAGGTTTTATTTATTTAGTTGTGGGTAGAAGAGCTGGGGTGTAGGCCAGAGGTGCGATTGTTGAGAAAATTCATCAGCGACAGAGTGGGGAGCAGAAAAGGCAGCTTTATGAAGTACACTGCTGAGGGGAGCCACAGGGAGACAGGAGACGTCTGTGCCACGTGGGTCACCTCCCTGGCAGGGGGTCACACTCTGGTTGTGCTGGTGATAGTCTGGAGACAACCTTGTGACCACC